TCAGTGTGTAGAATTTAGTGACATCTAGTGGTTGTGGTACAAGTTGTGGTACATGTGGTAGCCTTCAGTAGACGACAATGTAAATATAATGACAATAATTCATACAGTTTAGATGATTACACACTAGTGAAAACATCACTAGGATTATTTTCATTTTTCATTTCTGCCAAAGATCCCTTTCACCTAAATCTTACACACTGGACCGTTAATGCTTAATTTAGTATCCTTAACCTCAAGCTGTTTGAAGATCTACTGTGTAACTCCTCAGCCCTCTGGTGACTTATTCGCTTCTTATCCAAGTACATCATGAAATTCAATGCTTCCTCAAATCTCCATGAGGTGTTTATTATTTAACATCCTGTTTATTCCTGCAACACACTTAGTCGTGTTGCCCTGCCTCATGGCCAACCAACATAAAACATCCATTGGGTTTGTTTTTCTTTAGGTTTACAGAGAAGCATTAATTAAATAATGCCCAGCAGCATCTCTCCAATATGATTAAAACCACCCCTCTCCTTTCTAGTTTAATTTTTTTTAGATTTATATTCCATTGTTAGTTGATTATTCTCTTGATTATATTGGATACAGGTCTCAGATAAATACCTAAAATATTAATTTATTTGTGATACGCACTACAGATTTAACTTAATATTTTTCTTTTATCAAGGCTTCATTTCACTAATTTCAAAGTTAACAAGTAACTCAACAATTGTTTTCTACAAATACACAGGCAGCCCAACCCTGCCCTAGCACCATTTGAGATTTACAATGACCCTTCCCAAAGCAAAGAAGTGTATCACAAATCAAAGCAGACCAATGATTTACTGGATCACTACACCTCACTAAATTACATGACTTCACAAGGAAATTGTCTTGATTCTCTATGTGATTACATTTTAAAGAACTGTGTAATTCGACATTAATCATGGGAAATATTACAACAAAATGAACAAAAAAGAAAAGGTTAACATTTTATGATTCTCAATTTCAACTTAGCTGAAATAACCCAGTTGATATAATCAGTTGATACATTTTTTTTTTTTTTTTTATTGCTCCTCCAGAGCTTTAGAAGGCACTGTACAACTAACAAGTAACTTGATCTTTGTGTGTGGAAGTGGTCACTTGTACTTTTAATGACTAAAAAACAAATATTATACTTTACAGCTTTTCTTATTTGAATTTTAGGCTTGTCTCAAAAATACATTTGAGACATTTGCATGTTCAGCTGACTAACAGACTAAGAGTTAATTGGAATTATTTACTGGTAAGCACACCAATGTACAAGTATCTTCCTTTTCTCCAAAAACCCAACAAGATTACCTTGTCTTTTCTATAGGAACATTCCATAGCCATTTCCTTGGAAAATATTGGTAAAATAGTGAGTTACCTGGATCTCTCTGAACAAGAGAGCAATGAAATCAAAATTTAAATTTATGTCACAGAAAAGGTTAGAATTAATTCTTTACATACAAATATGTGATTATATTGTATCAGAAGTTACTGTAAAATCTGTCAAACTCCAATATAAATCTTGTCTTTTAAACTTAATTTTAAGGTGCCTGAGGCAGTCTGTGAGTAGACACCTCATAGCACCACTTTTCATGGTCAAAGCCTCGTAAAACAATGACAGCTTGATAAGAATAAAAATAAAAATTGAAAGACAGGATAAGAAAAATAGGTTAAACCCAAGCAGTACCTGATAGAAGAATCTTTAGGTTGATTAAAAGACAGTTTCTTCTGTTACTATCCCCTAGGTTTGCACTATTTTAGGAAAAAGAAGCCTCCTGTTAGAGCTAGAACTAGAAGTCTAAGGAACAGGTTACAGAAGGTGGAACAAGAGATTTAGTGTTGTTTCAAATTTCACTGAGAGAGGTTGAAGTCCATGTCCAGAGTGTGTAAGCAGGGCGTGTGTCTGTGTCAAATAGAGATGACTAATGCAAGATAAGAAAGTTGGTTAAAGGAAAGGGATGAGATTTCTTATGAGAATAATTAATATATAATGAACTACATAAATTAACAGTTATCACAATATAGATTCCATTATGAGGTGAGAAAAGCAATCTCAGAGGTAATTAAAAAAAAGAAAGGGGACCAAAAGTATTTGTTGTCCAAAGGTTGTTGTTTAGAGCAAAGATTTACAGCACAATAAACTAAGCAAACATGAGGTTGCCAAGAAACCCAATCAGGGACTTTGCTGGCCAACATCTCTCTTTACTATTTACCTTCCTCCAATGACGTCTCTTAATGGTGTCTCTTGTTACAAGCATAACCGCCCAGAACTGGGTGAAGGACTGCTTCAGACGCTTGTAGTACTTCCTAGATGAAGGGAGGGGGCAGCAACACAAAGTATTCCATGTTAGTATATCACTCTCTGACCTAATTTTAGGCTCCAGGTGAAACCTAACTCCTTCTCAGCTGTAATTTCTGCCTCATCTTTAGGTTTTCTATTCTTCTCTAATTCACCATATATTTTATATAATATTCAGAATTGTATTTGCATTGCTGTATATTCATTTGAAATTAGGAATTGTGTTCTTATTAACGAAACTAGTTCAGTTGGGGGGCAACGAAAACGTCACTGCTAGATACCACAAAATCATTCACACTACACTTTGAAACACTTTTCTAACATAGGGACACTAGGTTGAAGTAACTGAATCATTCAGGTACTGAGATCAGCAGTACATTTTTTTAAATGAAGGGCAGATTTGATATGGGCCCAATATTGTATGGGATGAGATACAATAATCTTTTATTAGTCCCACAACAGGGACATTTGCTGTGTTGCAGCAGCAAGGAGGACAGCCAAAAAATAGACATCAATAAAAGTTATAAATAGGTGAAATTGTTATGGTAAATATGGTATGGTATATATATATATATACAGGAAATGTGAATGTAAAAGAAATTATATATAAAGTGTAAACAGAATATATACAGTGTGAACAGAAGACATACAGTGGGAAAAGCATTGGACATTAGCTCCTCCAAAGAAGAGAAAGAAGAGTCATAAAAGCTTTCCACCTGCACTTCAAAAGGCCTCAGTCTCCTCAGCAGATACAGTCTGCTCTGGCCCTTCTTATGAAAAAGTGGTGGCATGATCAGTCCAATTCAGTTTATTTTTCAGGTGAACACACAGATAATTATAAGGAGTCACAATTTCAATGTCCATTCCCTGGATGTTCACCGATATAGGGAATGCCTACGGAAATCCTTGTTCCTTAGTTTTCCCCACATTGATCTGTAGGATGTTTCCTACAAAGTCCTGCATCAGTTCTCTGTATTTGGCAATCATCAGCCTCATGATTGCAGAGTCATCATCACTGGCCTCATGATTGCAGAGTCATCAGAGAACTTCTTGCAGATGACGAGAGACATGAGACAAGAGATAGTGGAGAAGTCTGCAGAGTAGAGGGTGAAGAAAAACAGAGCCAGAACTGTTCCTTATAGGGCCCCTGTACTGCAGACAACCATGGTCCGACACACAATCCTGGTTCTTCACATGCTGGGGACAGCTGGTCATAGTCCAAGATCCAGGATGTGAGGTGGAGGTCCATTCCAGCATGCTCCACTTTATCCCTCAGGGTTGCAGATTGAATATGGGTTGTAAGCATTGGAGAAATGAAAGGACATGATTCTCACAGTGCTCCCAGGAATTTCAAGATGAAAAAGAGCTGTGTTGGAGGCAGATGACAGCACCCCAATGCTAGGCTGAGAATTGGAGTGGGTCCATTGATGGGTTCACCAGGGGGCTCAGATGAATGCGGACAAGTTGCTCCAGGGTCTTCATCAGTTGACTCAAGAATATTTTTTTTAAATCTAAGTTCGTGAAATGTTTTTCAGGGTTTAAAGTTTTCATAGGATGGAGAAACATGATTAAAGTCACCAGAGTTAAGGAGCACCATTGTGTGCTGTGTCTGCAGCCCACACACCACAGAGTGGAGGACATCACAGGCTACATAAGTGTTAGCAGAGGGGGAATCACATACGTGAACTAGTACTAGAGAGTAAGGTCTTACCACGATCCACTGTTCTATCAGCCCTTTTCCGGTGGAATCCATCCAGCGCAGTGATCGTGTCTGGATTAACTATGGTCAGCCGGGTTAAACTGATGATCATGTTAAATGGTGATGTCTGTTGTGTGAATTGTCGGGACTTATTAAAGGGCTTGCAGAATTTTTTTTTTAACATTACCAGTTAAAGTAAAATGTCTTTCCTTGTCTCAGTGATATAATTCTCAGACTGTAAGGCCACCAGTGCCGGGTGGGTCTGCAGTAGTGGCCACCTCACTGTCCCTCTCCTCCCTCTCCTCCCTTTTAATCCAGAGCCAACAGCTGACTCTTTGCACGGCCTCTCCCAAACTTCTTACTGCTTATCATCTTATCTGACCTCTTACGCCAATTCTAATGAGACGTTTTGATACACACTGTGCAGAAAATCTCTCCACTGTGAAGTCATGTGAGTCTCCATTGGTCTTTGCAATCATTTACCAGGTGTTGGTATTTGCTGATGTTTCATTCTGCATTCCTTACAGCCTTCCTCCAATGACACACACCAAAAAAAAATTTCTGCCTACTGCTGACCAAAATCACATCACCATAGTACTACATAGGAAATTGAGCTTCCTTCCAAAGGTCAACTCTCATCTGCCATGCAGGTCTAACCTGAAGGAGGGTTTGGTTGACTGTGGAATTGTGGAATGTGTGGACTTCGACCAGCTGGTTCTTTCTCCCTTCCTACCCAAAGTTGTCTATGAGCGTCAATAAAACTTTATCATGTGCCATCTGTATCTGTGTTGGGTCAATGTCTTACAATCTCACAAGATGTGTGCCATAGTTCTTCTACCAATACACAAGGTGCAGTGGGACCTCCCATATCTCACCTATTATTATTAATCAGCACCAGTTCTCACACTAACCTATCAGAAATATGCCAACTGCACACCTGCACCAACAGTCTCATTCAGAGACCCGCAGACAAGGCCTCCCCCTGCAGGAGAGAGTGCTGACAGAACTCCGTTGCTGAACAACTGATGGCCAAACCACCTGGACCTGACATGAGGTTAACAGCCACAGAACCATAGTCTGAGTTCCAATCGAGAGGGTCCAAAGGTCACACATTCAAGTAGGCTTGGTCAAATCATTTCCAGTTTTATAATGTCTAAATTTATATTATATATCATTCAATCATTCTTATCAATTGATAAATTGTTAGTAACATTATTACAACAGAATCCATTTTAACTCATTATCTGCCGCAGACACCCAAATTACCACCTTTTAATATCATTGCTACATATCCAGATGTTTCATTTATTCTATTTTGTATTTTCTCTGCATTATGATCCATGTTAACATTATGTTACTAGTAGATAGTCAATAAATTTCATATATTTCTATCTAGTCATTGCATTTGTGTCTTTAGTGTGTTAAGTTAGTTAATGAATCAAATGTAATGTAATGTGTAAATTATGCTTGATAATTGAATATGCTTCAAGAAAAAAAAAACTGCCTACATCAGAGCTTGCCATTAATCGGTATTCATTTATTTTGTTACAAAAAGGGTTGGCAGCTCATTCTCAAAACAGCAGCATCAGATTGCTTCTTAGTCAGGATGGGTATATTTCAAGATAGTTATGTAAATAAGTTATTGGGCTTGTTAACACATCAACTAACATTTGTTAGAAAATTGTGTCAACTTTAATTGACTGAATTTATTAAGTAATTGGGCTTATTAACACATGAATACTGTGTACTATATTTTTAACTCACCTAGAATGGGAACAGCATTGCCCTTGGTGGGAGCAGTGATGCTGCGAAGGACATCACAGACAATCTCCTTTTGTTCAGAGTTAACAGAGAAAATGTTTTTTCACTTATATACGTTGAGCCAAACAGACTCTTCATTCTTTTTGCTTGGCGTCTCATCAGAGGAAACTTGGAATTTTCCAAGCTCCCGTAAAAGTCGGGTACGGAGAGAAGCTGATTTGATTCTTCAGAGAATTATCACACTGTATTTCGATAAGTTCTAATTGCAGACTCTCTTCGACTTCTTGTGCATCCATCAGGAAGGGTTGAGAACAGCTTGATTTCTTTCTCAGTGACAGAAAAATATTGGAAGCGCTTACTGAATTCTGTCATGAGAGATGTGCTCAGAGACACATATTTTCCCTTTTTAACAGAAAGTTGGCCTTTGGAAAAGCAGATTTGATTTCGGACAGCATGGGGAAGTGCGCAACATTGGAATTACGTAGTTGTGTCTCAAAGAGACAGAGCTTCACACAGAATTCTTTCATGTGTGCATAAAGTTGTGGTACAAGCTTGTCTTTGCCTTGTAGGCTCTTGTTCAGTGTGTTAATATAATCGGTAAGATCAACTAAAAATGCCTCTGTGGTAGAGCCCTTGTGCTCAAATTATGTTGACAGTTTTCACTATAGTGCTCATCACATTGCCAAGCTGGACTGTCTTGGCACAGAGGTCTTCTTGGTGGATGATACAGTGCATTTTAACAGCCTTACCACCACTCTCTTGCACCTTGGCGCACACCATAGAGGCCATTCCTTTTCGCTTGCCTGTCATAGCTGGAGCCCCATCAGTTGTAACTCCACACAGCTTGTCCCAATTGAGTCCCATCTTGTCAGTTGCATCTGACAAAGCTATAAAGATGTCCTTACCCGTTGTTGTGCCCTTTAAACCCTTAAGATCAAGCAGCTCCGTGTAATGTAAAAGTATAGCTGTCCAGTGTCTGTGGCATCTGTGCCATCATCACATGCAGTTGACAGGTCTTTGATTCGCCGCACAACTGTGTTTCTGGTAATGCTAATGTTGTTGAAGTCCTGCATTTTTTCCTTGCACATTATTCCTGTGACTTTAGTGAGGTGGTGTTTTATAAAGTCACCATCTGAGAAAGGTGTCCTGTGTCGGGCAATGAGCTGAGCTACCTAGTAGCTAGCTATTGTGGCATTTTCCTGTGTTTTGTTAGCAGGAAAAAAATGCTATTGTTGAGCTTGCAGGCTAGCTGCCATTTGCTTAACTTTCTGTTCTCGCTCTTCACCAGTGTAGGATGTGTAGGTCGGATGTTTGGTTTCCTAGTGTCATAGTACATTATACTCTTTCATCACTGCAACAGTTTCATTGCAAATCAAACAGACACACTTCCCCTTGACTTCTATGAAGAAATATTCATTTTCCCACTGTCTGAAATGTTCTGCACCCACTTGCTATCCTGCCTTATTAAAAACAGTAGCTCCACCTAGTGTTCAAACTAAGAGGTACAATACAATCAAGTACAAGTTTCACGTGTGGGCTATGTTCCATGATATTTTTAGAATTTGCTGCATTAAAAATGGACCAAGGATCGAAGTTGGCCCGCAGGCCATAGTTTGGACACCCTTGACATAGGTGGAAGAGTCAATAGCAGCTGGGGGGTGAGAGTGTCCATGGTATGTATGTATGTCCATGGTGGGGTCTACAGCCGAGGACATTGTGGAGTTGTAGAAGAGTCCATGGGTTACAGCTCCAGAGGGCAGAGAGGTGGCTGCTTGGGGTGATGGAGAAAGAGTCAAACCTATTGATAAACTGGTCCAGCTCATCAACACTTTGTAGATTCCCCTTAGCTGCCCTTCGAAGATGCTACATCTCCACTGCCCTGCTTAGTGGAGCTGTAGCATCTTTGACATTTGTGGACAGCAGATCTATAGTTTTGTCTAGCAAGAGGTTGTCTCCCTGCCTACCACTGTATGGCACTGTGCCAGGGATACTGGCACACTGATCACTGGGCGGCGCTGTGTAACCTTTTATATTCAGGTGGGTGGCCACACCTCAATCTCTCCTTCCACTTTAATGATCTCCGGTGGTAGTGGTGGTGACTGTAGCCTGATGTGATGGTGTCCTGGCATAGCAGATCTCATTGCACAACATCCAGTTAATTGACTTAGCCTGACCGTCTTTTCCATTGTGTGTTCCATTGCAATGAGTGTTCTGATGATGCCGGTCTCCACCTTTTTTGGTCACACAAAGTCACTGTGTATGATCAATCACAGACATACACTATTCAATAGGATGCAAACATATATATGTAACATATAGAGAGGGACAGCAATTCTAGCCATTCATTGATGTGCTGTTAGAATGGGTGATGCAAATAGAGAAAGATATATGGGGATGCTATGGAAGACATCTTCAGACCAGGTGGTGACAATTATCATGTTAAACTCTTAGCGTTTGTATATTGTTCCACCTTCTGGTCTCCATGATACATGAAGTCTATATTAAAATCTGCATAAGACATCAGCTGCTGCTGAGTTCTCTTTTCACCAGCTTCCATAAAACTTCCATAACAGAAGGCATCAAGGATGGATATTGTAATGCCATGAGAGGTCACTAGGGCAGGCTAGGGTGGGGTGGTGCAATGTAACTAAAAATAACAGGAAAAAAATCAAAGGTTCTAAAAAAGAAGGCGAAGTCTTCATTCTGTGAATAATTCTCAGTCTTGTTCTGTACTTTCCCTTAAGCGGTTCTCTAGTCCAAGTTGGTTCTCTAAGCTCCTTCCATCTGTGTGCTTTCATTCCCTCTGCAGCAATCCAGTCCTGCCTCAATTAGGTGGCTTAAACCCCTACATCTGGGAGCTGTAGTGTGTGCAATGGCAGCCATTTTGTGATGTGGCTGCTGATCTTGAAAGTGAACCCCCTAAAAATACATGGCCCCTTGTAATGCCAAAATATATAGATAAAAAACATTTTACCATAACACAGTGGAAACGTGTATTTAGGTCAGATGAGTAGTCTCTTTTGGAAGAAATGGACGCTGTGTGCTCCAGACCAATGATGAAAAGTAACATCCAAACTATTATGAGCAGCAAGTCCAAAAGTCAGGGTCTGTCATGGTATGGGGTTGTGTCAGTGCCCTCGGCAAAGGTTACTTAAACTTCTGTGATGGCAGCATTATTGCCGAAAAGTACATAGAGGTTTGGAAAAAGCAGCATATGCTGCCTTCAAGACAATTTTTTTCAGGGACATGCATATTTCAACAAGACAATCCCAAACCACATTCTGCACACATTACTAAGGCATGGCTATGGGTGCAAGTGCTGGACTGGCCTGCGTGCAGTCAATATGGGACTTGTTTGCAGGAAGAATGCAACAAAATGACGCCTGAAACACTTCATCACTTTGTGTCTTGAGTCCCTAAACATCTGTCCCTAAACAAGTGTTGTGAAAAGTAAATGCTTTACTGTCCCAACGTTTTGGAAATATGTTGCAAGAATCCAAATTAAAATATGTGTTTATTTTGAAAAAACAATAAAATTCATGAGGTCAAAGATCAGATAATGTGCTTTTGTGTTATTTTCATTGTAATACAGGTCAAAGATAATTTACAAATCACTGTTCAGTTTTAATTTTAAATTTAACATACCATCCCAACTTTTTCTGATTTGGGGTTGCAATTAAATTGTGTTTAAAATGTTTTAAAAGTAATTTTTTCCCCCAACTGGTGGAAGGGGCGGCGTCCTGAATTTACAAACTGCCCCCCCTTCCACCAGTTGGCCAGTATCATTTACTTTCTTGTGGTTTGTTGGGGTGGCAGATTAGGGAGCTGTGGTGCTAACATGCTTAGGAAGTTGGTAAGGAAGGCCAGTGCTGTGGTGGGGATGTGGCCGGTCAATACCTGGCCTGGTGTCCTCGAATGTGGCTCTGAATCACAATTGCTTTCTGTCTGAAGAACTTAAAGTTCCTTCTGCAGAGGAAGCCCCTGATGTTCCTCTGGATGGTGATGGCAGCCCAGGTCTGAGTGCTGCTCCACTTCTCCTCCAGCTGCTTGTAGAGAAGCTCCTTGAGGAACAGCTAACACACATATAAGTCTTAACATGTTGATATGTATAGTAAAAACTTTCAATGAAACGCATTAATGAGCAAGTAGGTACCTTGGTGAGACCCAGTCTGTAGTGTTCCTCCTCTGCACCAACCATGTCCAGCAGAGCCACTGTCTGTACTTTGTCTGACACTTCACTCAATCCCTGGGTCAACAGAACCCCATACCTGTGAAAATGGATCATAAGGCAAGCTCATCTTGGAAGCCCTAAATCCAAAATGATGCAAATGATTTGAGAGTGTCTACACCATAACACAACTTTAACACATCATCTCCATTCCTCCATACAAATTAATTCCTTTCCTATGAAATAAAAGGGCAACTGTGGGAAACACTCTGCTTTACACTGCTGTTGCTTGCACATATTTATCTGAATATTCCCACAATTAGAATGGATCAGTTGTGGTGAAGTGCTGTACATCTTTAAGTAACAAGTACTCTAATAATGATGTAGGCAAGGAGGCTTTGTATATTTGCAACACCTTTCTATGAAGTAGGAGTATTGAAGCCGGATGGGAAAACCCTCTTTCCGGATGTGGATAGTCTCCAGCATCCCTCCATGCCTCAGCTGGGCTGACATATAGTCCACATCAAAGATACCTGGAAGCTGATAGAAGATATGTGAGATCCAATGCATGAATTGTTTTTCCAGGAATATATTTTAGGTACCTGATGTTATAATACTTGATGACATTTAAATTAAATCAATTGAGGTCACCTTAACATAGTTTGGCTTCAGACAACGAATAAACGTAGTTTTGCATCTGGTTATAAAGGGAAAAAAAGCAAAGACAAAAATTACTTTTCAAGAACTAGTTTTAATTTATGACCTGCCTGCAACTGAGAGCTGTTTGGTATTTAATTATCTTAAGAGGTGCGACAAATGTTAGGCATATCGTATTAGTGTTAACGAACAGCAATACACATAATGGACACATATTCAAGAGACATCCTCATCAGAGCCATTCAGTCATATATGTCTCTTATCTGATGAAATCTCTTGTAGAGCTGGTCTCAATGAGGATTCACACCAAACTAATATGTTGGAGATAATTGTCATAGTCCTGGTTTTTTTTTCCCCATTACATTAATTTTTTTCTATTATAACCCTATTAAAACCACAGCTGTTAAATGCATGTAGTCAAGCTATTCCCTTCAATTTTTTTTATCATAGAATTGTTTGTGTGTTGGTACCTCTCCAGGCGGATGATGAGTTCATTCAAGGACTGGAGGAAGTGTGAGGCAGCAGTAGAATGCTGCTGTCGAAGGCCCTTCCTTCTCCAGCCCAGCTCTCTCTGCTGAATGTAATCATCATGAACCTTCTGGAACATCTCTGACACCATCTGCTGAACATGGCCATTTGTAGGAAACATGTACTGTACAGGACTAGAGAAGGGCACTGTTTTCACCAAAGCAAATAAATGAATAAGATAATAAACTGAGATTCTTTCAAGAAAGTTTTGTCTTTTTCCATCTCTCAATTATCAGTAGAGAATATATAAATTGGTGACATGTCTGACATTTCTGGATGTGCAAGTTGCCTGTGTTCTTCACTCCCATGCTTTTTGTCTATCTAAAGTTTTCACTTTGTCATTATGACATGTGTTACATATAAGTATATGTCTCAGGTGTGTATACTTATCACACATCTCAGACAGAAATACTTGACTAAGATCCTAAGTCCTGGACACCTCCTCTCCTGAATGTTTTTTGTACCTCCAAATGGTTAAGCAGTTAATCCTAGGGTCCCTAGATGCCATCCACTCAATTGGGGCTCAATCAGAGTCGTGTTTTCTTCATCCAAAGCCACTGACTGCTCTTCTCAGCACTCCAGAGAGTGCAGTTGTTTGGTGTTCCCTTGTACTCCTATCTCTTGTAGTTGATGTGGGTGCAAATCTTCAGCAGCCTACCTCAAATGGCTAGCCCTTTGTTTTCCAGCTATAGTGTTGAGCATTGGCCAGCTCCACATTCTCACGCTCATATGCCTCCTACACTGCATCCTCCCACTGTAAGCTTGATTTAAACTTGCATGAGTGATGCTCAGGTGAAGTGGTGAGTCTAGTTTGACCCTCACCGTCCCAAAGAATTGTTGGTGGTGTGAAGAGGGGAGGAAGGGTGTTTGTGGAGGTAGCTCGTCACATTCAGGTGAACCAGGGAGAGTTAATTGGTGCAGCTGAGGTTAGTTGGCAAGTTACTCTCCCTGGATTACGAAGGCTACAGGAGAGCTGCCACGTCAGAGGGAGAAACACATGAAACGTAGGATAGGAGGAGACTGAACAGAGCTGAGCTACGACAAAGCTATGTTCTGTTATTTGAATCTATGTATGCTATGTTCTTAAAATAAAAAGGAATGATTTGTATTTGGCTGCCGTTGGGAGACCCCGGTGGCAACGTCGTTTGCCACAGTGGCACCCAATGTGGGGTCCAACATGGAGCCAGAGAAACTTACCTGAAGTTGGAGTCGGCGCTAACTGGAGTGACAGAGGATTTCATGGCCATGTACTGGAAGCGGGCAGTGGAGAGCAGATGGCAGCTGGAGGCTCTCCAGAGGCACGCAGACAATGCTGCTGTTGCCTCTCCTGGCCCGGTTGGGGCCCGCTCCTGTTCCTGCCTCTCGGAAGACAGTGAAGCTGGCAGTACCCGCTCCTGTTCCTGGTCCCCGCCTGGTGGTTAAACTAGCGCCACCCACTCCTCTTCTAGGTCCCCAGACAGTGCTGAAGACTGCTCCTCTTCTAGGTCCCCAGAAGGCTGTGTAGGTGGCGCTGCCCACTCCTCTCCGATATGCCAAGATGGCGGTRAYRYCCRCTCCTCTTCCAGGTCTCCAGTCGGCTGTGAAGGAGTTGACACCCRCTCCTCTTCCAGGTCTCCAGTCGGCTGTGACGTCGACGCCTGGTCCTGTCCCCTGATCCATGTCGGCTGTGACGTTGACGCCTAGTCCAGATGGCTACCCAGCGTGAGTTTGGTGATGGGGGTATGTGAAGGTAGCATGTCAGAGAACCTCCAGGTGAACCAGGGAGATTTAATTGGCACAACTGAGGTTAGTTGGCCAATTACTCTTTTTGGATTAAAAAAGCAGCTGCAGAGCTGTCACGCCAAAGAGATAAACACATGAGACAGCAGAGACAGCAGAGACAGACACATGGAGAGAGTAGAGCTGCCACGATGCCAACTGAGACTGTTGCAACAATTTATGTTTGCCGTTCTCCTCTAATGAAGCATGTTAAAACCTAAATGGTTTGTCTCTGGCTGTTGTTGGGAGACCCCGGTGGCTACTTCGTTTGCCACAGTGTTGACATATATCTTCCAAGATGTCCATATCTTCCAATGGTCTTTCCAGGAGATCTTTCTTTTTTCCACTCTTTCCCATCTCACCCATTGCCCTTGTCTTGCCTGACCCGTTCATCACTCAGATCACATCCGAATGCCTATATTTGCACACAGTCTGATCATCCCCTTCTCCTTACTGTGTAACTGTTCCTAGGTCCTTCACTCTGGGTCAGTCTACTGTTTGGATTCTGTACAGCAGGTTTTCTGTTTACCATTAAACTTACACCACTACAGCAAACTTTGAGACTGGATTCTGGTTTTATATTTCTTCAACAATACATAAAGCTTTGCAGAATAACAAAGATGGCCTTCTGATAACAGCAGTTTGACATCACTGGAGCATTTAAAGAATTGTCAGAAGATATCTGTCGTCAAGTGTGTAGTCATTTGGGCCATGGTTGTTATGTATTTATAATAATTAATCATCCTTCAGGTGATGGAGTTATTATTAATTATTGAGTGTGCATGTATTAAAATTTAAATGGGTGGAGAAGAGTGAATGAAAGTGTTGTCTTTTCAATTTATGATACTTTCAGTATTTTGCTTGTAAACTGATTCCAAAAATTCTGCTTTGCTATGCTAAGCAAATGGGCCCACATTGACAGCCTGTGTATGTATCCAATTGTTTTCACCTTTAACTGACTCCCGGCAAAAAGTTCCACCACTTCTGTCTTGAACTGGTCATGGTTCTTATTCAGGAAATTCTGAACCTGAAAAAATGACAGAGTAGTATTATTAAGTACAATTGTTCTCACTGCATCAGCTGCAAAAAAAATGTTGTGCTTTGCCTGATACCTGATAGGTGACAGCTCCAGCATAGTGATAAATAGTGAAGACTGGAAGTGGGCTTTTTGGCTTGGCATAGTGGGGGCTGTTCCCATGGTGGTAGTGGCATTTCTGGAGGAAAGTGTGGTCAGTGGCCTGAAAAAAAGCACATATATAATATGAAGATATCCTCATTTTGTATTGGATTCTGCTGCAACACAGTTTACCCCTGAGACTCCAGAAGTGTTTTGTGGACTCAAACACTTCACCCACCCCTCCATCTGCATAGTGGTGTTGCAATCAATGGCTCTTACAATAAGATAGATATGGTTGGGTAGATTAAGGGTTTTTTAAGTGATTAGAAGTTTATAAAGCTTGATGTTATGGTGACCTCAGTATCATCCAAACAACCTCAAAAAATCAGTGTAGAATAATATTTATATACTGAAGCTGACCCCAAAGAACACAGATGCGTTCACATTGAAAATATACAATATAATATGTTAATTTTATGTTTACCCAGTTGTCCCCAATATATTTGGTGATCAAATCCATTTGTTTAGAGATGTTAAACATCCAATGGGGTCAATAGCTGAAGAATAGTAAGAGGGATATATGTATATTAATGTATATGTGTGTGCATATCTGTACCTGAGGGAGGCAAGTCTGCTCATCCAATATATGCAGGATGCCTTGTGGCCTAGAGGCAATCAGCTCCAGACAGGAGTTGAAGTTCTTGAGATGCATGGAGTTCCACTGGATCTGTTCTGCACTGTACTCTTCCTATAGGACACACAGAGTGATACTGCAGTGGGTACTCTCTTAAAGAATGCTAGTTCTTAGTTGTATTTACCAGATTACCTATTGCTTAGATGAGAACACAGAGTACAAGACCATTGGTTTTAGTACTACATGCCTGTAGATGGTCTAAATTTTTACATTTTGATTGTTTTCATCTGCTGGTCTAAATAGCTGCAAGTGTTGCTGAAGTCATTTCTCAGTTAAAGGTTCAATAGTTGTAACTAATTCATGTGGTGTCAGATTAATCTGAAAAAACGTGTTGCCAATTGGGAACATTTAAGTGCCAAATCAAGACAGAACAGCAACTCTGGGAGGCTACAATTTGATGTGATAACTGTATTATGTTTATATAGTGTATACCATTAAGAGAAGGGTGCCTGGCTAATTCTACAGATACTCCATTCTCTCTCTAAGCAGTACCCAAGGTCAGGTTAAAGATAAAGGACCAACCAAAAGTGCATTGTAGTGTCAATGCTCAGGTACTCTCATAACTAACTCAGATGTCCCAGACAGAGAGGCACCAACTTCAACTCTTTTGTGTATTACACCAGTGGCAAGACGTAAGGACACAATGGAATTTAGGAATGCATATTTACACTTAACTATCCAATAGGATGAGAATACCTACAAATAACATAGAGAGTGACAGCAATTCTAGCCATTCATGGATGTGCTGTTGGAATGGGTGACACAAGTAGAGGAAGTTATATGGGGATGCTGTGGGAGACATCTGGAGACTTGGGAGTGACAATGGCTCATGTTACTCTGTTGGTGTATATTGTTGCACCTTCTGGTCTCCTTGATGCTTCAAGTCTACAAAAATTCCTGAATCCACCCCTTGATCTACTTCTGCACCATAATTTAATGGGTTCTTCTCTGACCCATATCACATCCTTCTACCAAGTTTCTGTCATGTCACTACCTAGCATTGTTTGGATATTATACCCTATTAACCCTAACCCTCCTTGTAGCCAAGCAGTCAAACACAGATAAAAACATAACCTCTTTGGCGGAGGCACGTTTCCAATAAATTTTCCTCACTCAGTGACACACCCGCTGAGGAACCAACGCTGGTTATTAGCAACTGAAAAACATGAAGTTAGCAACATCAGCGACCACAGTCAAATGTAATCCTGAGGCCAGAGCGGGCGATATAGAATCATATTTAAAACAGCTGGCTAAGGGAAAACGTATATACAGTAATCTGGTTATTCACGTTGGCAGTAACAACATCCTACAACTTCAGTCGGATGTCACAAGAATAATATGGAATTGGTGTCTAATTTCTGGGCCCCTGCCTAATATGACCAGTAATGACATGATGACAGCCACATGTCACAGCTGGCTACTGGATGGTGTCCACACAACAGCGGCGGGCGTCATAGATATTTGGCTATTAAGGTTTTTAACTTCGTATCGGGATAAATCACCATAATTGCTTTGGCGGGAGAATCAATAAAAGTCATGTCGTTATTGAAGGTATGTCATAAATCAAGTTGTTTATTAAACTGTCAACCCAAAGGCTGTAGTCCTATGACCAGCTTAACTGATCTGCCTTATTAAAGAAGGTCCCAGATGGTCAGTTGATCATTCATCTAGCCGTTATCCAACTAACCTGCTCTTGAGAGATCACTGCCTTGTTGACAAAGTGCTGCAACTGCTCATTGGCAAAGTTGATACACAGCTGCTCAAAGCTGTTAACTCCCAAGTCCTACAGAATAACAGAGAATCTGTGATGTTACATTCAACACCACAACATATTATTTGCTTTTATGTCTTTAGATGTCAGTCCAGGATACCAACCTCAAACCCATAAATGTCCAGAATCCCCACTGTGCTGTCCATCTTTGAGGGACTCAGCCAGTCATTGATCTGCTCCAACAACCAGTCAAACAATACCACATACAAGGCTTTGGCAATGGCATCTCTAGAGAGGGAAAGAGAGCGAGGAGGCACATGCATCCTTTAAGTTAAAAGGTACAAACTTTGATTCACAATTATTGACGGGACAATGTGTATTTGAGTTTCAACAACATCTTGTCCTCTGGCAAAGTATTGACATTCGACATGCCACCATTGACACAACACTCAAAGAAAACTCAAAAGCTTGGTGAATTAGTATTGTGTAAGTCTTTAGATCAGTGGTAAGCCGAGATCTACCACCCTGATATCTTCCAAAAAAACACTTATGAGGGTCATATTTATTATTTTTGCAATGTCTGTTAAAGGCTCAATGTATGAGCATACATTTACACAAAGTAAGAAGTGCTGGACCCTTTAAGTTGAGTTGAGTTTGCTGCTTGAAGAATAAAAAATATGCTGAAAAGCAACAGTTTAGTCTCTGGCTGTGTGTTGCAGACCTCAGGGGCATTGTCTATTGCCTGAGTGGCGCCCAAAATGGGGCTCCACGCAGCAAGTGATGCGGACCTGCAGGAGCAGATGGCGCCAAGTACCCCTGACTGCAGTGTGCAAATCAGGGCGGGGCTCAACATCATCGGAGCACATCATCAGGTGACAGCGAGGGTCTGCCTTCCCATTACATTACAAGAATCAAGTAAGTACAATTTGCTTCGAAAAACGCCAAACTACAAGTGCTACATGTAAATGCCATATAAGTAAAACTAAACGGAATTCGATTTGCTCAAAGTGGGGGAAGCGATGCAGCACATTAACAAACGTCCATACTGGAAAATATCTTGAACACTGCTTCCTAATTAGACATGTGACACCAATATATTTGGGAAATAATCCTTTCCTGTGTTTAAAGAAATAAAGTTCAAATAAAAATCTTACTGTTAGCTGAATTCAAATAAAAAAATTTCAAGATGTGTTTTACAGGGACAGAACAGGGGTCTCATTTATAACCATTGTGTACACAAATCGGGGCCTGAAACGTGCATACGTCACTTGACACACAAACGGGATTTATAAAAATAGACTTGATGGAAAAAAGTGTGCATTTCCACGCAAACTCTGACCCATGCGTACAAACATTTTGGAAACGGAAAAAGTGGCGATGCAGACGTGAAGAGGTGAACTGAAGCAGAAAATGGATCCACTTCATCATTTACATTGAAACCAATGATTTTTTTTATTTCAGGCTCAATTCTCTCTATCGTTCTCTGACTCACTGTATTAACAGCAGCAGCGTGTCTGTGTATTCTCTTTATTAGTGGCATCACTGCTGTCCCATTAAATCTCTCTTCACCTCCGACTCACTAAGATACACCTCGATGTCAGTGTCAGGAAGTTTCACTTCCTCTTCTCATTGCTGCATGCTGTGACTATGCCATGACTCACCGTGGAGACCCATTGGTCAGCAGGAGAATTTAATATTCATTAGGTGCTTTGCATTGACCATTTATAGTTGAATGTGGGCATGTAATATGAGGCAGTGCTAAAGTACGAACGTTTCCAGGTGGACTGTGATATATAAAGTCAACGTTGCGTTCAGGTGTGCATGCGCATGGTTTTATAAATCGGAATTTTCTATTGCTTACGCCATTTCCGGCTTTTGTGAGCACGTACGCTTTTAGTATGAATCCCACTCACTGTTTTATAAAGGAGACCACTTGAGTAAGCAAGGAACAGAATCAAGAACACTGGTCTCTACGGGTTAGCCTTTAGTCTAGCGCTCGTGATGGTAATGCTGGTGGTCTCTGGGATACGTAGGATCTCCAAGGGGATAAAAGAAGAACCTTATGCTGGCAGAAATGTAAACATAGACTTTTCCAGACTGAATGCTGTAAATCATAACTCTGACCTCGCAGGGAATCTGACCTGAGCACATACATTGAGATAAGTCTATAGAAAAAGCCAATTTTCTCCCTGATTGTCTCATTTGCTGTTGAATGTCATAAAGAGGCAGCGATATTAAAAATTAGACCATTTCATAACCAGTTAAATACTCCTTGTAGGTGGCTTTAAATGTTCAGTGTGTAGCAGAGTCTTAGGATCTATGGTGTCAAATGCTGCACTTAAATCCAACAGGACGAGTATAGAGACAAGTCCATCATCTGAAGTTCAAAGGGATCTATTTCCAGAAAATACAAAATAATCATAGTGACATTTTCACCAGTGTGTTTCTTCTAAATTGTACAAATTGTTGTTTTATTTACCCTAGAATGGGCCCTTTATATTTAAATAATTTATATTTACATAGGGAGAGGGTCCTCTCTATGGAGGCTGCCACATTTTTTTTTACTGTCGTCCAAACTTGACAAACTAAAACCTTTTGAGTTTTAATGATAACTGAAGTCTACCACAGGTTCTCTCATGTAGTTATGTTGCAGTCAGTTGCAGTCAGTATTGACAGGAAAGGCTCAAGAAGCTCACTCATCTCATAGTGCAAGTGAAAGCCAGAAATATGCAATTGTTGACTGTTGAAGATGTAGGTTTAAAAGCTTATGAATTGGCATCAGAGGCATATAGGGGTTTCTTAACTTAACAATTCAAAAGGAGGTGTTCCGCTTTGGAGGTCACTAGTTTTAAAGATCTGTGTGAGCTGATGGTGGTAGAGCAGTTTAAAGATTTCTTTCCACCTGAGGTTGCCACTTACTGAATATTGCTGAACTTGGAGTAAAAGCTGTCTCTGAAGCTGACACTCTGGTAGATGTATATGCACATCATGGTAAATTTAGGAAACAGGGTTTCAGATAATACTACTGCCAAAGTTCACTCCACTAACTATTCTTGGTCTAAGTCTTCAAGGTCAAATTCATGGTCCATGAAAAAGCAAGGTAAATTTCATCACCACAACTCATAATGTGACTCCGTAGTGTATATGGCCTCTGTGTGCCTGTATGCACTCCCGACAACGTCTGGGCATGCTCCTGATGAGCTCTGGTCATTTCACACCTAGAATACTGCAACAACTCCCTCTTGGCTGGTCTGCCTACTAGTGTTATCTGACCTCTGCAACTCATCCAGAATGCAGCTGCATGACTGGTCCTTGACCTACCTACCTTCACTCACACTACTCCACTCCAGTTTAGTTGCACTTATATGGCACTTACATGGAGCACTTTGTAGTTTGACTTTTTTGAAGCAAATTGTACTTAATTGATTTTTGTTGTTTTAGGTTTGTACCCTTATGGTTGAATGCACTTATTGTAAGTCACTTTGGATAAAAGCATCAGCTAAATGAAATTGAATGTAATGTGATAAATGTTTCTGACCCGTAGGTCTTTGTTGCAAGCATACTTCACTGAAATGAGTAGGAAATGGGCATAGGGTTTATCATAGTTGCTTTTAGCAGGCTGAAAATTATGCCAAGGGAATGTTGGTTTCAGTTCTAATGACCTAGTCTTCAGTCAAAAGGTTGTTTGGCAGAAACCCAGGAACTTGTAGGAAGTAACTAACTCTATGCTCATTCCCTGGATCTTCCCCGGTGTCGTGGGGGAGTGTCTGCGCCTGCAGAAATCCACCATCAGTTATTTTGTTTTCCCCACATTGATCTGGAGAAGTTCCACTGGTACCGGTCCACAAAGTCCATCGTCAGTCCTTTGTGTTCCCTGTCATCCTCATCAGTGATTAGGGTGACAATTGCACAGTCATCAGAGAACTTTTGCAGGTGACAGGAGAGTAAAGAGGAACAGAGCCAGGACTGGTCCCTGCGGAGACTCTGTACTGGAGACAGCTGTGCACAACATCATCGGTCATTTGCCCACTTCTGGTCCCCTGCAGCCTGGGCCTCCGCTTTCTTGTGGCCAGAGATGGTTGTCAGGACTCTCCAGAAACAGCTGACATTGTTCTGCTGCTGCTGTGTAATGTTTGTGCAGTGTTTATGTACTGTTAGAGTCGTGTTTCTGTGTGTTTTCTGTGTCTTGTGGCGGGGATGGTGTCCCCAGAATATGATTCAGATAATGTTTCAGTAGCAGACAGTGTCTTTCAATTACATAATTACATTCTCTGAAAGAGGTGAATGACTTCCTCAATGACTCTTTTGGCCGGTCAGTGGAAGGCACTGATTCCCTGATGTTAGGAAGTTCATTCAGACAGTGAGCACTCAGAAAGTTGTAGGGACAGACCTACTGGATGGGAAGAGACATTTTAGGCCAAGGAAACATGTGACTACTGGGAGAAAAGGTCTAGTGCCTGCCCCGTCAAGTTCACCGTGTCTTTAAGGCTTATCTCTCTCTCTTTTTCCTTCCATCTTTCTCTTTCCTTCTCACTCTGGCCAGAGAGCCAGGCGGCATGCACGGGCTCTACTAGCTCAGCCACAGTGCGCAATGCCTGGCTAGATGCACATGGAGTGAGTGCTCTTCCTCACCTGCCAAGTATTTGGTGTTAGTAAATAATTTTTCCAGTGTTCCAGAGATCCCAGTGCCTGCCCCACCAAGTTCACCCACACGCTATTCTCTGTGATGAAGATGAACCAAAACCCACTCAGTTATTGTGTCACTGATGCACACCTTCACTCCATCTTGAGGGTTTCCACAGCACAGAATCAACCCCACACATTAATGAACTGGCAGCCAAAAAAAGATGCCAAACATCTGGTTCTGGCACATGTACATAAAAGAAGAATGTAGCCAACCTAAATATGTTTTTGTGGAGGTGAAGGGGCTGGGAGAGCACCTTCACCTGCACCACAGAGGATCAGTCAGCACAGGTGAGACCTGTTAGCTGATTGATCCTCATGCTTGAAAAGGCAGCAGCAGAGCTGCCTCAGAGAAAACACACACTGGGGAAGAGACTGGGTGAAGCTAAAGGTCCAGCAGAAAGTGCTGGACCCTTTAAGTTAAGTGTTTTGTCAGTTCTGTTGGTATTAAATAAAAAGATGTTGCTGAGCACCCAATGGTTGGACTGGTTTGTCTCTGGCTGTCGTGGTGGGAACCCTGTGGCATGGTCGACTGCCACAGTTTTCTTTTTGCACTTTATCCAATATCCTGTCTATCCTGTTAAAATGTTGATCCTGTTTGGCCCTCGACGTAGTCCCATTTTCTATATTGTTTGATTCTTACACACACAATCACACACACGTAGTGCCGATATACTGACACGTTGATGTACAGTACATATGTTGTGTTGAAGGAGAGAGAGAGAATGACTGAGAAGATGAGGGTTGAAGAAGAAAGAAGGTAAAGCAAACAGAGACACCAGATATCAACCTATTCAAGCACCTTGAACATTTGAGAATTTTGGACTGACATGTCAGATAGATTGATAGACTAGTAGACTCTGGCATTGATTCTGCCAGCAGGAATGGCAACAAGCATACTATGTGAAGATACAAAATACAAAGTGTGGGTCTTAAATCAGCAGCATGTCTTGTCACAATAATCAACACAACCACCAGAGTACCATCACCTGTGTTAGTAGGAACCATTTGAGGTGGTTTGAGCCTCATGAATTCCTCCTTGTGGAAGTGGTCCAGCCACATCCACCTGGAAGGAGACATTAAGGCAACCCCACATCTAAATGATAACCTCTACTATATAATTTGAACTAGGAGGCCTTGGAATAATCTGAAGGACATGGATCGGGAGAAGTACATGGGATACCATCCTTGGCCTGTTGCCACTGCAAGGTCCAGAATAAATGTTAGGAAATTGATGGATGAATGGACAGATGCCAAGAACAAGTGTTTGCTAATTGTGTTTACCTCCAGTCTGGATCACCATGACAGGAACTGTACTTACCGGGATTCTATGGCACGTTCCACAGACAGGGGGCAGTAGATCTTTTCATAGGTTGTCTCCTGTAGATGACAATACTGATCAGTGTGCACATTTACAGATACATGTACAATTAAGCCAGAAAAAGCATGACTGGTGCATGAGGTGCTACTGACTGTGACTCTGTGAGTGATGATGGTCTGCAGGGCATCTGAGGAAATCTGCAACAAGGAGCCAACTCTTCTGGTCTCAGCATCACTGAAGATGTGGGAAACCTCAAAGGACTCATGCTGAAACAACACCTTGATGTATGAAACCAAACCAAATTTGATTTGACCAACACTAACACACACATACACACACACACCTCATAAGAGCTGAAGCAGATGTTGCCGAGCTGCAGAATTGAGGACAGAATGGCCCAAATTGTGGAGACCTGGTTAGCATAGAGTCCAATGGTCTCAAAGCAATGAACCAAAAGTTTGAAGTCCTGTTTGTCCTGCTTCCCATCCAGTTTACAGGCACCACCCTAGTTGAAGACAGATTTAAAAATGTTTTTTACATATATATATATATATATATACTGTATGTGTTACATGTTTAATGAGTGAAAAGGAAGCAAGACCACATATGATAAAAACATTATATGATAAATTAGTGTTCACTAATATGTGATGTACTTGATTTAGGTAGTAATAGGTCTCAGGTCCCTGTAGGTAGAGTTCCTGTTTGTCCCAGTCGTTCATCCCTGCTAGGATCTCATAAAATACATGGTAGTTCCTCTCCTCATTGGCCTTTAAGGGAAATGAGACCAGAACTAGACATTGACATAAATGGAGTTTAATTCAAATGATGAATAAAAAAATAACACAAGAACATAATAACATTAACAGAACATCCAAGCTTTATAAGCTTTTAATAGTCACAGAAGTACTGTTGACAACATGATAGCATGCTTACTATAACAATATTAAAGTTTAATGTTTAACATGTAATATTGCCATCTTAGTTTAGCATGCTAAAGCATTCACTTCTCTTAAAATTAAATTCACTTCTTTTTTACTTGGAACAGCATTAATTTGCACATACTCATAAATATCAATCCATAACAAGATAATGAATACATTTTCAAAGAAATCAACGGAAATTTCCGCCCAGTGATCCAGATCTGCAACAAATTTCTAGGTTCTTATCTGATCCATACCCCATCTTTCCACTGTTTTGTTGTAATCCATGTTGTAGTTTGTGCATAATCCTGCTAACTAACAGACAAATAAATAAAAAAAAATTCAGTCAGGATTTAGAATCCATCACAGCACTATTAAAAGTCACTAATGACCTTTTCATGGCATCAGATGATGGACTTGTCTCTATACTCATCCTGTTGGATCTTAGTGCAGCATTTGACACCATAGATCATAAGATTCTGCTACAGAGACTGGAACAACATGTAGAGATTAAAGGAACGGCACTAGGCTGGTTTAAATCAGATAGATTTCCATTTGTTAACGTCAACAATGACTCCTCCATGCACATGCAATGTCTTCGACTTCCACAAGGTTCTGTCCTTGGACCAATACTCTTCCCCTTATATCCCACTTAGGCAACATCATCAGAAAGCACCACATACACTTCCATTGTTACGCAGAAGACACCCAGCTTTACATTTCTATGAGGACAAAATTGTGTTTAAGTATCTCAGAAATAAAGTGGTAAAAAGGAGGTTTCTTTCTAGGAGTGATTAAAGATGCTAAAGGTAATGGTAAAATATTTTGGGAAAACCTAAATAAACTCTTGGAAAGGGAGGTAAATAAACCAAACAATATTGAACTGAATGTTAATGGAATTTTAATCAAAAACTTATCTAACATAGTAACAGCAACTTTTTTGTTGAATCTGTTAAATAAATGACTTTACAGAATGTTATAATTAATAATATCAATGGTTATTAAAACCATATATATTTGTTGAGCTGAATCTCAGAAATAGGATCTCAAAGAACTACACTTCCCAGAGTGCACCAGCAGCAGCAGCAGCAGCAAACCGGCTGCTAGTCACCTGATCATTGTCACTGATTTGGAGCACCTGAGAAGGAATGGAGCTTCTCAGTCATTCAGACAAACAAACTTCAGAGAGAAGAAGCTCCAAGTTCACTCATAGGTTCAGTCCAAAGACACCAATGGTCGGTGAAATGTTTTATTTACTTTCATGGTGTTCGCAATGCTGCTTAATATGTTCAAGTTTATGTTTAACTGCTGTGTAGATTGGTTAAGGAACACATTGCAGCATCGACTTCATTGATTTTGTGTTGAATGAGTTTGCGCTAAGAAGTATATCATTTTGAGTTTGAAAAATTAAAAGTATAAGATACAAAAGGATAATACAAAGTTTAAAAATGTTAATTTATGAACAGACCAATCAACTGACAAAGACAAAATAAAGGTGACTGAGTTGTCCTTGTGTCCTTTGGACACACAAAGATGCTTTGATTGTTCCAAAATACTCACTTTCTGAATCTATCATTTAAAAGCAGGATATTTCCCACTGCATGGACGAGTGCTAGGGTTAAATCTGGAGACCCAAAAGAGGCCCATAAGTATCCTTCCAGCTATTTCTTTTGCTGAAGGATTGGTTGCTCAGCATTTAAATTCTCATTTTAACAAAAGCAACATGTTCTATCAGATGCAAWTTGGATTCAGAAATAAACATTCAACTGAAACAGCTATTTGCTGTTTTATTTAACGTATCACAACTGAACCTATATTGTGAAGTTGGAGCAGTATTTCTGGATTTTAAAAAAATCTTTGATACAGTAAACCATAATGTGCTCCTAACTAAGCTGTCCTCATATAATGTTACTAGTGAAGCAATTAATTGGATACAATCCTAAAAAGGTCAAAAGGTTCATAAGGGACATAGCCAGTCCGACTTTCTCTATAATTATTGTGGAGTTCCCCAAGGATCACTACTGGGACCTCTTTTGTTTACTGTTTACATTAATGATCTGCTGCTTATTTGTCCACAAGTGGATGCTCAGATGTATATATAAATGATATAGTTTTATTTGTTCATGGAAAAGTAAGTCAGAAATTGCTCAGAAATTAACAACGGCTATGATTAGTGTTTCTGGCTGTCTGACTCTTGTTTGCACCTCAACAGCATTTATTTTTCTATGATGTCCAATAGTACCATACACCCAGATGTGACTATAAATGGGACGCAAAACTGTTGTGGATCATTTTAATTGCCAAGGCATAATTTTGGATTCTCACTTAACATTTAAAAAACATGTGAACAATGTAATACAAACTGTTAGGATTTTAGGAATTATAAAACTGTATATTTTGCTACAGGCAGCCAAATTATACATATATGGGATGATATTTTCTTATTGTAATTACTGTATGACCAGCTGGTCTCAAACTGGAGTAACTACCTTATGATCAGTTGAATCACTTTATAAACAAACACTGAAAGTCCTGGATAAAAAGCCTAATAGTTACTATCATTGTAACATTATTGTGAAGTATAATGTATTCTGTACTGACAGCTTCAAACAATAAACAGATATATGCCTGATGTTTAAGATTCTTAATGGACTCCTTATTCTTAGTTGTTTACATTACAACTAAGAATAAGGACTTGAGGTTATCAAGGTCAGTAACCAGAGGAGACTCTTGTGTTCCATACAGACACAGTACATTTGGCAATTCTGTAGTTTCAGTTAGACCTCAACAATCTGGAATAGACTCCTTATAGTTATTAGAAACTGTACCAATCAATATACTTTTAAAAATTAAATTGCAATTGCAATTAGATTCCAAGCAAATCTGTATACATGAGTAATGAGTAAAGTGAGTTGCCTTGATGTCCTCTCAGATGCTATGTATGCTAATATTGTAGTATAATTGTATAAATACATTCAGAGCAACAATATTAGTATAATACCTTTTTTATATATTTTTTTCACACACACACACACACACACACACAAACACTCCTGCATACAGATGTTCTTCCTGCAGATTACGACATAGTGCAGTGTTTTAACTTCATTGTAGCCCCGTTTATTCAGGAACACAAATATGAATTCAGCAGGTTTTTATAAAGATCAGTTCTACATGTAAGTGACTGTAAGACATCATAGGAGTGGAGTCACTTGTTGGCCAGCCATGTAATAAGCCTCAGTGCAGTGGCGCTGCTGAGGGGGGCCTATAAGTTTGTCCTCTTAAGCCTTAGGTGCAGCACACAAGTCTAAACTGAATTAATGTCAAATCAGTTTGGAGAGTACTGAAACTTTTGTAATAGCTAACTGTCTATAATACTTTGTTACATGTTTGTCTGACTGATTTTATTAATTGATGAAAAAGCAGCCATGTGCAGTAATAAAGGAAATTGTGGATGTGATACATTGGAATAATGCATTGATACATCAATGTTAATTTGAATCATTAACTACTGAATCGTAATCGAATCAAATCATAAGGTTAATGAAGATACACAACGGCAGTGTACCTAGTTGAACTTGAAAAAATTACTTTTCCAATGAATGTAAAATTATGGACTCTTCCATGATTCCTATTTTGAACAAACAGCACTCCACACTTAATATTCTCACCTGAAATATAACCCTGGACTTCTCAAGGAGATATCTGGACAATGAAGTCCCGACAACAACACCACTTTCAACAAAGATAAGACATGGACAGCAAATAAAATAGCTGAAACAAATCTTGAGGTGCAATATCAAATGATACAAAGGTTAAAATTTGCTGGACTCACTTGAGAATGTGGATGTGGAGGTACTTGCCAAAGCGGCTGGAGTTGTTATTGAGGATGGTCTTGGCATTGCCAAAACTCTCCAGAATTGGAAAGACCTTCATGGGCTGGCCAAGGAAGAGAAAATAAGGGAAATGAAATAGAGACTGGTTTGAAGGGCTGTAACATACATAATGATGTGCAGTGTTGTTAACCCAGGTGTTTTTGTGCATTTTTCACCAATATTTACCTGTCGCAGATTGTTTTGTCTGCCCTGGCACATGGTACTGAGGTAATGGACAATCAGCTTGGTTGCCTCTGTTTTCCCTGAACCACTCTGGCCACTACAAGAGAACGTGAACAATTTGTTCAGCATGTAAGCATATAAGCCAAATTATTACTAAACGCAAAACAGCTGGGGTAGGTGGGAATGTCATTAGGTTTTCAGGTATTGTAATCTTTATGAAAGTAAGGTTTATGAAAAGTTGGTCCATTCAGTACAACAATAAATCCAATAGTTGTTGAGACAAATGTATTAGAGTTTTGAAGTCAAAAATGTCTTTAAGAAAAAACTTCAATGCAATCTATTGTGGAATAACTCTTGATCACACTTTGTGTATGCAACTAGCATTGCTAAAATATCTATACAATATGGTTTAATGGATAAACCTGGTGTTAGCCAATAATTTTCTTCTTATCAATAAATCTGGTGGTGCTGGTGAATCGAGATCATGGTGGCAGATGATTGTGGATCATGATCCTGACTGATCCTGAAAATGTACAGTATGTCTAACTTCTGTGTGGGCTGACATGCTGCAGTGAGCATATTGTGTCACTTCCAGTTTTTGCTGCTGTTAGTGTATCGATCTCTGCACTTCTTCATCTCCCCTTATTCTGCAATTGTCAATCCACTGAAGCAAATTTTGAGTCACATTTACATTTGTATTGTTTTTCACACTTATATCTCTCCTTCTCTTAGCGCTACTAAGAGTACTCGTTCGCTAATTCACAGTGATTTACATGCTATTCCTGTCTTGTGTTTGCTTAGCAACTTAGGTTTAGAAACTAAGGATGGCTTTTCTCTCCCCATCTCACTGCCCTGCTCTCTCCTGCTCAGTGTGCCTGCTGTTTAGTTACTCCTCTGTCTCCTTTAGCGATAATAGTATGTGTAATAAATGTAGTTTATTTGCCAGGATGGAGTTGGGTATTAACCATTTGGAATCGCGGCCTTGCACAATGGAAACAAAATCATGAGCTGATACAGTTAGCCAGTCCCCAGTAGCTGGTACATGCCAAGCAGCTGTAGCTTCTATGACTGGCGAAGCGTAGTCCGAAACCCCTGGTTCACGTTTCCAATAAATTGTCAACGCTCAGCAACACACGCGCTGAGTAACCAACTCTGGTTATTGGCATAGACGTTGAAAATTTAATAATATTTCCCTAAAACCCTCTTCTGTCTAACCATTTTTTAAATTACATTTGAATGTACTTTTATCGACTACACTGATTCTGTATATAGTCTGTGTTTATCAGAAGATACTGTAAAAAAATTCACAGCCATGTGTCAGTACAAAACAGGAAAGTTACCAAAACTTTATTTCCACTCTAATTGATAACTTTATTAATAGTACAGCAACCTCATTAGAAATAAACCAAATCAGAGGAGATTGGCTCCATGGTATAATTCTAAAACACGTGTTTTAAAAAAAGACATAACGGAAGCTGGAGAGGAAGCAGCTTTCCACCACCCAAGATGATCTATACCTAGCCTGGAAGGATAGCCTGATGAATTACAAGAAAGCATTCTGAAATGCCAGAACCTCCGTTTATTCATTATTAATAGAAGAAAATAAGAACGACCACAGGTTCCCCTTCAGCACTGTAGCCAAGCTGAGAGAAAGTCACACCTCTACTGATCCATCTATTCGTCTAACTCTGAGCAGCAATGGTTTCATGAGCTTCTTTACAAATAAAATTATAATTATTGTTGAGGAATTTTTGACCATCCTCACGCATTACTTTATATGCCACTATAAATTATGTATATAGTGTATATTTTGCATTATATCTGTACAGCGGAAGAGGGCCTGTCTTATTCCACACATACTCCCTTTTCTCTCCAAGCAGTACCTGTTACATCTGCCCCTCAAATTGCTTCTACCATGCCCTCTACCACTAGTCCATGCATTTGTGACCTCTAGACTGGATTACTGTAACTCTTTATTATCAGGATGTCACAGTAAGTCTGTGAAAAGCCTCCGGTGTTTCCAAAATGTTGAAAATGCACACTCTGGGTTCTGGAAGCAGACACCATCTCTACATATAAGGTCAGACTCAAAAACGCAGGTATCTCTGACTCCAGAGCCTCAGGATGCAGACATCAATGAATTGTTGCCTCTATCATTAATAACATCTTCCATCCATAATTATCGCTCTTATTGTTTCCATTTAAACTAGTATGTCAGAGCTGAAACCTCATAGTTTTTGATCTGTGATCTTTGTGCTGAACTAAGTCCAGTATTAGATCAACCGACAGAATCCATCCATCCCAGTACAAACACAAGAATATAATAATAATTCTGTTAAAGGTCCAGTGTGTAAGATTTAGGTGAAAGGGATCTATTGGCAGAAATTTAATGTAAAATAATTCTCGTGATGTTTTCGCTAGTTCATTTCATCTAAATTGTATGAATTGTAGTTTTCTTTACCCCAGAAAAGACCATTTATATTTAAATACTTTATATTTACACTGAGGGTGTCCTCTCTAGGGAGTTTTTTACATTAGTCCAGACTGGACAAACTAAACACCTTTTGAGTTTTTATGAAAACGGAAGGCTGCCATAAGTTATTTTTCATGTTTGGAAGGAGAGGTTGAGGTGAGGGGCAACACGCAATTTCACCACTAAATATCACAAAATTCTACACACTGTACCTTTAAATTCTATAGATTGGGGACATCACAGCTGTCTCTGAATTTTATAATCCTGCAGTTTTGGATCATTAAAATACGAACAGGCAATATAACAAGTTCCTTCACTGACAGTGTGAAGCGTTAATTCTATTGTCTCCACCTTTGAATTGGATCTTTTTTTATTTCAGGCTCCATTCTCTCTATCTTCCTGACTCTCACTCACTGTTATATCTGCAGCAGCAGAGTATCAGTGTATTTTCTTTATTAGTGACATCACTGCTGTCCCATTAAATCGCTCTTCACCGCTACCTTCCTGACACCTTCCTAACAAACACCTCAATGTCAGTATCAGGAAGTTGCCGTGACTCTGTCATGACTCACCGTGGAGACCCATTGGTCAGCAGGAGAACTGAATATTGAGGTGCTTTGCAATGACCATTTATAGTGGAATCATGGGCGTGTAGAGGGCGGGATATGAGGCAGCTCCAAGTACGAATGTTTCCAGGTGCACTGTGTTCTATAAAGTGAACATTGTGTTCAGGTGTGTGTGCGCACAGTTTTATAAATCTGAATTTTCTTTTGCATATGCCTGTCCTCTCTCTCCCCACCCTCCCCCTATCTCTCTCCTCTTTTCCACCCATCTCTCCTCTCTTTCTCATTTTTCTCTGCCCTACCAGTCGAGGAAGATGGATACCCACATTAAGTCTGGTTCTGTCAGAGGTTTCTTTCCGGTTAATGAGGGGTTTTTTTTCTCTCCACAGTCGCCAATGTTTGCTCAATGGGAACTGTTGGGTTTCTCCCTTTAGATAATGTATATTATGTTTAGGCAATATACAAATAAAATTGAGTTGAATTGAATCGACTGTGGATTGTGGTGCTGAATCATGATGGTGGATCGTGATCATGGTGGCAGCTGAGCATAGACTATGATTACAACAAGACTGCTTGATATACATAATGCCTACTCACACATTCATATATATATATATGTAACGGAGTAGATCTATGCCTGTTAAATTATGGCAGAAAAAGGTGCAACACCGCCTTTTACTGGCGCAGTGGTTGGTGTAGGTACTGCACAGAGAAAAGAGGACTCCACTGTGGTAAGACATCCTCTCGCATGGTCCGGGATAATTAATTATTCCCTTTAATGTTCCAGATGTTTATACTTTATATTTTACCATGTCAAGTACTCACTGTGACCTATGCTAACAGTTTTGAGCAATAACTGTGACTTATTAGACCGTAAAATGATGTTAGAGACTTGTTAATGTTGCTAAACTAGCTTAAATATTTTCCCTCGTGTCAGGTGTTATTATCCCGAGACTGTGATGGTGGAACTTTCCCTCACCACTGTGCTGCTGTATGCTGTGTTGCAGGTAATATGTAGTGCACTTCTTATGTAACATTTCATATGTTTTTTTGTATACCAGTCTGTGAACAGCCTTTTTCATTGTTCAGATAAATGGCTCACATTTGTTATCTATCTCTGAATTTAATGTTAATGAGCTACTTGTGATTTTTATACTTACCTCAAGGTAAATGTTGAATGTGTTCTTAAAAGACATTTCATGTCACATAATGGTTATGTGGGGATTTTTCATTTATGATTTATGGAATAACAATATACACTATACGATCACACTAGGATGTAATTTTTATTTTTATTTTATATGAACAGGTTTCGGTATTTTATTTAACTGTTAAATGCTGCACAGAGAAAAGAGGACTCCACTGTGGTGTTATTATCCCGAGACTGTGATGGTGGAACTTTCCCTCACCACTGTGCTGCTGTATGCTGTGTTGCAGAGCTGTAATAAAACACCCCATAATCCACCTGGTCGTCGTCTGTGGTCTGTAGAAGCAACAGTAGTGTGGAGCTGCATCTCACAGATAGCTGTATATCACATATTCCATTACTGGTAATAACTCCATTTCAAATGTCATTGCTGATCCCTTCATTTCTATCAGACATATTAAATTTGACACACTTCTCCATTATGTTACAAACTGTTTCTTTTAATCAATGTTGTAAATATTGTAATTGTGTTGAGCTACACGCAGCATCTATTGCAAACAAAAATTGTATTTTCATTTTCATCATCCAGCCGCTAATGGTCATTCTAACAGCCTTACTAATTCTTGAACAAACAGAATTTAAAAAGGGGAAAGTTATGTATTTTTGGCATGATGCTCTGCAGCAGATAATTGATGCCATGCATCTTCTGCTCCTGCGAATATATCACAATAAAATCCCATTTTTACACAAAATAGTTAACAGAAACGCTGGAGTGCTTTTATTTTAAAACGCATACAGATCGACCAGTTGATTGCGATCAATGGGTTGGCAACCACTTGCTTAGAGAAATAAGATATATCAGACTTCGAATACACAAACTTGGTCAGTTTTTACCCATTTGCATGATTTTTTGGCAATGAAACACTGTAATATCACAGGCCTACTTCTTTTCATTTTGATTCTGAAAATGTTGTTTGGAAGTACACAGTAAAGATAAAACTACTTGGCAAAACTACATAGATATACTTTAAAATGAATGTAATCATTGTTCCTGTCAATACCTTATAATGATGCACTGCTCCTGTGTTGAGGCCTGAGACTGTTTGAAGGTGCCCTCAGCTATGGCATACACATGGCTGAAGCAGAGAACAAAAGAAAGGCAAACATAGTGGTGTTTGAAGAGAGAAAATGTTTTTTTAAGGGTCTGGAATATCTTATGAGACACATGCTGCAAACCATCATTGAAAAAAAGAGAAAGGAGTATGTAATGTAGTCCGAGACGTATTTTCTTACGGTGGGTTTTTCTGCTGCTCTTTTCCCTGGTATTTCTGTCTCAGCTCAGCTGTGTAGATGTTAAGAGGCTTGAACGGGTTAATCGACAGAAGCATGTTTCCAATGTAAGTCTGGGGGAAAAAATTACAGACATTCAATGAATGTACAGATACTTAAACAAATCATATAATTTCAAGGAAAATTACAAAAACTTAATTTAGCAGGAATTGTAGGTAAATTGTGGCTAAATATTTGCTAAATATTTGCAATGATGATAGTAGTTTAGTTATAGTTGTATCTGTTTTTTTGTCATCTCTCTTCCAATTTTTTTTTTTTGTGTGGGGATTTAAATTGCATTTCATCCTCCTTATTGTATTGTTTGCTGCTCCATTTTAGTCTAATGCAGGACTCACATGTATGATTTGGAGGCTTCAACCGAAACTCATTCACTTTGAATGGGGTGATTCACTGCATTGTGGCTGCATAACATCATGTTGCTCATGCTGCATGTGGCACTGTAGGCACTAACCAATCAAAAGGTGTTTAAAAAATACTCAAAGCACATGCGCTCGCCAATCAAATTGCATTAATATGAAAGAGGCTGCTGTTGAACCTGTTGTGTGTTCATCTGGTTATGGATTTTATTTCATATGTGTAGTTAGTATTGCATTGATAGAGTAGCTAGCATGGCACTTTAGGATGTCTGTGTCACAAGCATGAAACTGTGTTGATAATTGATGTTGTTATGATCAGGCCAGCACCATGCACTAGCATTAGAGTAAGCTCCATCCTGCTGAGGGATACCATGTTTGCTGAATGCCAAATGCTTGCTGGCTGAATACCATGAAAAATAAATAAAATATAAAAATAAAGTGTATACAGAGTAATGCAAAACCAGTGCCTAATAGTAAATGGAAATGAGAATAAAATGCATAAAATAAGCAAGTTACATGAGAGAAACTAATACTTAAAAAAGCAGCAAGTAGAAATAATAAAAGGAGTATTTTGGGATATTGCACATGATATTGAATATTGCGCATGATATATTAAAATAATACGATAATGGTAATTATTGCACACTTGGTGTTTTTTAATGTTTCCATGTATATATATATCTACACGTTCATCTACTTCGAAGTACATGTATAGACATCAGTAGAGACTGTGAAAAAAAACAGCACCACCTACAGCTCATCAGTAACTTTGCAGCCTTGGTCTGTTTCGCTGGATGCCAACATCAATGGACCAGAGTGCTGTCTCCAACCAGGTGAGGAGACGCTGCAAGCAGTGTGAGAGGCTACGCGTAGATATATAGGCTACGCTAGGGGCAAAACTGAACTGACTGGCAATTCTGCCCTGCTCACCAATGTTCGCTCCATTGACAACAAGATGGATTATAAGGGACTGCTGTGTTTGAATTTTAACTGACAAATGACAACATCCCGGACTCTGCCATGCAGCTAGATCGGCTAACATGCTACGGGGTAGACAGAGCCTCAGACACGGGCGGTGGTGTGTGCATTTACATAAGTGATGCTTGGTGTCAAAATGCTGTGGTAGTCTCTAAACACATTTCAGCTCTCGTGGAGTTTATGATTGTAGTGTCTGCTTTTTTACCTGCCGAGGGGATTTACTGCTATTCTGCTAGTAGCTGTATACATTCCCCACCAGCCCCAACAACAACAACAGAGAGGCAGCACTCAGTGAACTGTACCAGATTAACAGTGAGAAACAGACAGCCCACCCAGATAGATTCCTCATTTCAACCATGCCAACCCAAAACATTTTTACTCAAACTCCACCAACACGTTGATTTTCCAACCAGAGGAAATAACACACTGGACTTGGTTACAACAAAACAGCATACAGAGCTGCCCCCTTCCCCCACCCTCTCTGATCAGGCCATGGTCGAAAGTGACCAGGCCAGTCCAGAAGGAGATACGGGTGTAGCCAGAAGGTGCCACTTCTGCACTTCAGGGCTGCTTTGACGACATGGACTGGGACAACTTCAAGCATGCAGCCACATGCTCAACCAACTCACCGACCTATAGGAGTACACAGAGACTGACAGCTTACATCTCCAAATGCATAGAGGATGTTACTGTCACCAAAACCATCATTTTGCGGGCTAACCAGAAGCCATGGCTGACAGGAGAAGTTCACAGTCTCCTGAAGACCCGGAACACTGCCTTTAGAGCTGATGATGCAGCAGAACTGAGAACAGACACTGCCAACCTGTCTTGTGGCATCAGGAAAGCCAAGCATGTGTATAGCAACAAAATAAACCTGGCAATTCAAGGAAAGCAGAGACACAAAGAGCCTGTGGCAGGGGATTCAGACCCTCACGGTTTACGAACCTTCCCACAAGTGTGTGACATTCTCTCTGCTGAACCAACTAAATAGCTTATTTGCACATTTTGATGCATTTAAACAACACCACTGCAGAGAAGTCACCAGCTCCCTCTTACAGCCATGTTTTGTGTTTCTCTTCAGCCACTGTGAAGAAAACACACTCTCAAAGATCAATGCTCATAAGGCAGCTGGTCCAGACAAAATCCCTGGTCGGGTGCTGAAAGACTGTGCAGCACTGTAGCCATGCTGACAGAAAGTGACACCTCTACTGACCCATCTGTCCCTCTAACCCTGAGAAGCAATGATTTCATGAGCTTCTTTACAAATAAAATTATAAGCATCAAGGATCAAATCCCCTACCTCCTCCCAATGAATAGTGCAGAAACATTGTCTGGTCCTGAAGCCATAGCACCAGATTTATGTTAAGTTATGTCATTTATTCTATTGATCTTTCTGAATTTACCTCATTAGTTTCATCATCTAAACCAGAGGTCACCAACCGGCGGACCGCTGTCTTGGTCCGGACCCAGGCGCCTATAATCAATAAATTACAGAGGGATTCTACATTTTGACGGGGCACAAATCTGTGTAAACAACAGCGTGACTCTGAATACAGAGATGAGAGAGATGAGAGGCGAGTGACAAGTGGAAAGGGAAGTTATAGAGAAGCGATAGAGGGAGATGACACGGAGAGACAAGTGAGCCGGAGACAGGGAGAGGAGACAGAGACACGAGTGAGGGGAAGACAGGGAGAGAAGACAGAGAGACAAGTGAGCGGGAGACAGGGAGAGAAGACAGAGAGACAAGTGAGCTGGAGACAGGTAGAGGACAGGGAGACATGAGTGAGCGGGAGACAGGGAGAGAAGACGGAGAGACGAGTGAGCGGGAGACAGGTAGAGGACAGGGAGACACGAGTGAGGGGGAGACAGGGAGAGAAGACGGANGAGACGAGTGAGCGGGAGACAGGTAGAGGACAGGGAGACACGAGTGAGGGGGAGACAGGGAGAGAAGACGGAGAGACGAGTGAGCGGGAGACAGGACACGGAGAGACGAGTGGGCGTGAGACAGGACACGGAGAGACGAGTGAGCGTGAGACAGGGAGAGGACACGGAGAGACGAGTGAGCCGGAGACAGGGAGAGGACACGGAGAGACGAGTGAGCCGGAGACAGGGAGAGGACACGGAGAGACGAGTGAGCGGAAGACAGAGAAAAGTAATGGCGCTCTCTAAGAAGAGAAAAGTGGATAGTGAAAATAGAGCTTTCAACCCAGAATGGACAGATTCATTCATGTTCATTCTTCCCACTGGGAGCACAAAACCAGTGTGTCTCATATGTTCAGAGACTGTGGCGCTCATTAAAAGTGCCAATGTGAAACGCCACTATGAGACAAAACACAAAGTTTTTCATCAAACATATCCACTCAAGTCTGAACTGAGGTCACAGAAAATAATCATTCTCAGATCCCAATATGAGCAATCAACCAGGATCCTGACCCATTCATTCACTGCCCAAAACGTGCTAATGAATGTTCCCTCAGAGTTGCTTGGATTTTGGGTCAACACGCAAGCACGCAAGCCATTTACTGATGGAGGGGTTGTCAAGGAGTGCATGAGTGCAGTAGCAGAGACCTTACTTGAGGGAAAACAAAAAGAAGAGCTCTGTGACAAAATTAGGCATATACCTATGTCGTCATCATCAACCACAAAGAAAGCAGAAATCTTAACCCAGGATGTGCTAACCCAGCTGGATGAAGCTACCCATAAGGCATCATGTGTAGGGTTAGCTGTAGATGAGTCCACTGATGTGTCTGACAATGCTCAGCTATTAGTTTATGTAAGGTTCTTCAGCAAAGACAATAATGTGTTCTGTGAAGACCTGTTAGGTGTTACTCCCCTTCAGACTAGCACAAGAGGAGAGGACATCTACATGGCAATTAAGGAGATGTTAACAAAGCGAGAAATAGAGCCAAAACGAGTAGTTTCAATAACCACAGATGGAGCCCCTGCCATGATAGGAAGAGAGAAAGGAGCTGTAGCAAGGATGAAAGAGGACAATCCTGACCTCATCTCTTATCACTGCATAATTCATCAATCTGTCCTGTGCTCCACCCTGTCTGATGAGCATGCTGAGGTGATGAATACAGTGATGAAAATGATAAATTTTCTCAGGGCATCCTCGTCCTATAAGCATCGCATGCTCAGGGAATTCCTGAGAGAAGTTGAGGCAAATGCTGATGATCTTTTACTTCACAACAATGTGAGATGGCTCAGCAAAGGCAGGGTGTTGGAGCGCTTTTGGTCCATCAGAAGGGAAGTAGCAGCTTTCTTAGCAGAGCTAAGAAGTCAGAAGGCAACACAGTTTTCCCTCTTTTAAAAGACGAGAAAAAGATAATGTGGCCTTTTTGATTGATATCACATCACATTTGAATGAACTGAATCTGAAGCTACAAGGCAAGGACAATTCAGTTTGTGAACTGATGACAGCTGTCCGCTCCTTTCAGAGGAAACTTGAGGTGTTCAAGGAAGACCTGCAGGGAGACTGTGCACACTTCCCAGTAGTGCAGGGACAGGTTCAGGGACAGAGAGATGTGTCTCATTTTGTTGACTTTGTTGATAAGCTAATTGTAAATTTCAGCAAACATTTTGACAGATTCAGCTTTGGACAGCAGCTCACCATGTTTATTAAGAACCCATTTCTCATCACAGATGTCAGGGGGTTCTCAAAAGAAGTCACACTGCACTTAAATTGGGTAAATGCTGGGCCTCTTCAGATACAATTG